ATAAGAAGTGCAGCAAAAACTATCCAAAGCAATTCAATCAAGAAACTGTTTTTGATAATAATGGTCACCCCGTATACAGAAGAAGGGACGATGAAAGGTAGTAAATTTTTTAACAACTAATACTTACTAATGACATAAATTGCTTCATACTCAAATCCCAATATAAAACTCGCAGGTTCATGAAAAAGGGTGATCATCTAATAGATAACAGATCAATAGTTCCATACAATGAAGGCCTACTACTAATGTTTGATGCTCATATTAATGTGGAATGGTGCAATACCACACGTGCTATCAAGTACCTATTTAAATATATATGCAAAGTACCAGACATAACAACCATGATAATTAGTGACGACCAAACAGATGAGATAAAATCGTACCTTGATTGTAGGTATATCTCAGCATGTGAGGCCGCATGGAGAATTTTCGAATTTGAAATCCACGAAAGAAGTCCGTCAGTCATACGTCTACTTGTACACTTGGAAGGAGAACAGGCGGTTGTTATTCGAGACAATGAGAATTTAATGGAGAATGGAGAAGCCAATGAGACTATGCTCACGGAATGGATGCATACCAATGCAATTGATGAGGATGCAAGCTCCTTAACATATGCAGATTTCCCTACAGACTATGTATGGACTACCGTTGATGAGGTTGATGAGCTTAGAAATACAAAAAAGAAAAAATCATGGGAGAAACGACATCATGGAAAAAGCATCGAAAGAATAACATATGTACACCCAACAGCAGGAGAGAGGTACTACCTTCGTCTACTACTCAACATTGTCAAGGGTCCTAAATCTTTTCAGGAAATAAGGACAATCTATGGCTACTTGGATCCTACCTACAAAGAAGCGTGCTATGTTTTGGGACTACTTAGGAATGACAAAGAGTGGCACGACGCTATACAAGAGGCCAACCAGTGGGCGATGCCATCGCAACTATGAGAACTATTTGTCACACTACATTTATTCTGCGAAGTGACCGACATATTCAGCCTATGGGAAAGTAGCTTCAAGGCCCTCTCAGAAGACATACTACAAAACAAAAGGCGATTATTCAAACATCCAGAACTAATACTTACAGAAGATCAAATAAAGACATTCGCCCTATTGGAAATTGACAGAATCCTTGTGAAATTCGGGAAGTCGTTAGCCGATTTCAAAGATATGCCACAGCCTGACTTCACTGAAGCAGAGTGCATGGAAAACAAGCTTATAGCAGAAGAAAGACTATATGACACCAAGCAACAGCAAGAAGAGTGGTCAAGCAGAGTAACAAAACTGAACAAAGAGCAATTAGTTGTTTATGACAGAGTTGTGCATGCTGTACAGAACGAAACAGGGGAGATATTTTTTGTCTATGGCCACGGAGGGACTGGAAAGACTTTCCTATACTACACCATATCAGCAAGTCTTCGTGCTGAAAAGAAAATTGTTCTAAATGTAGCATCATCAGGTAAGGCATTAATCTTTAAAAATGATATTAGTAAATTCAAATGCTACGTGATATTAGTCACATCTTTACGATATGTAATCTGGGTAATATAACAAAAAACTAAAAAAAAAAAAAAATTCCACTCACTTCTCTTCAAACCACAAATTAGGTATTGCGGCCCTGCTATTACTTGGAGGAAGAACATCACGCAGCAGGTTTGAGATACCGATTGACCTACTAGAGAATTCAACATGTAATATCATTCGTAAAACACAACTAGCAGAACTACTACAATAAACATCATTGATTATATGGGACGAAGCACCAATGGACCACAAGTTTGCATTTGAAACACTTGATCGCACTATGAGGGACATTGTAGGGTACAAGAACCCAAACACAACATCTAAGTTATTTGGTGGGAAGGTGATATTACTCGGAGGAGACTTCCGGTAAGTACTCCCCATCGTGCCCAAAGGGAGGTAGACAAGAAATTGTCCAGGCTTCGATCAATAGATCCCACATATGGAAAGATTGCAATGTGTTTATACTGAAACAAAGCATGAGGGTACGAGAAGGGAACACCGAGACAGAGAACTACTTTAAAAATAAGAGGTTCAATGAATGGCTGCTAGCTATGGGAGATGGAAGGCTTGAAACACAAAATGAAGATCATGAAGCCGAAGGAACATGGATCGAAATACCAAGTGAGCATATAGCAAATGTGGATATCTTTGATTTGAAAATGGTCGTGGAGACGATTTACCAAAATTTTGAACAAAGAAGAAATGATACTACGGATAGCATAAATGACTACATGATGGGTCTCTTACCCACAGAAGAAAAGACCTACAAAAGTTGTGATGAAATATGCTTATCCTCAACACAATGTGACCAGCAATTTGATGCATACCCTATAGAGTATTTGAACAGTCTAAAGTTACCTGGCTTACCACCATGAGCTAAAGTTGAATGAAGGAATGTCGGTCATGCTTCTTAGAAACATAAACCCACCACAAGGGCTGTGTAATGGAACTTGCCTTATTATTACGCATCTTGGGAAGTTTGTAATTGAAGGAAAGATCATTACTAGGTCTAAACAGGGAAACAAAGTTTTAATACCTATAATTGTAATGACATCAACAGACCACAAACTGCCATTTATATTTAAAAGAAGACAATACCCTTTAAAGCCTTACTATGCAATGACAATAAACAAGAGTCAAGGACAGTCACTTTCATATGTGGGAGTATACCTATCGAATCCTGTTTTCAGTCACGTAGCATCAAGAACAACTTCACCAGAAGGCCTAAAGTCTTTTATTGATGATTCTTTACAAAAGTACAAAAGGAGCACAAAGAACATCGTCTACAAAGAAGTTTTCTCAAACTAACCCTCTGTGTAATAGTCATAACTTTTATTTTAGACCCAAATTTTTCATAAAGATTTAAACTTCCATAAGTTCTCAATAATAGTGGTTGTTCCCACTCAATGATAGGATATAGAGGAGTACATTTTTCAACTCAATTAGTACATGAGCAACAAGAATGAGATAGTATATGTTACGTTAGTTAGTTACAATTGTGAACAACAAGCAACCACTACTATGCCATGATTATTTTATTAACTTCTCTACCTTTTCTTTCAAAATATTATTTGTCAAAATTAGTTAAAACTCAACCAAATAAATCTAACTTACAAATAATAATAATAATAATAATAATAATAATAATAATAATAATAAATATATATATATAAAAAAATGTGTTCCAAATCTAGCCAATAAACCTCATGATTGACCCCTAACGATTTAATCCTTGAAGCCACCTACACCTACTTTTTCTCCTAATATGTTAAGCAAGAAAGCAACTTTAATTTTATGCACATTTTAACACTGCAATATGTATAACATCCAACACTGATTTTAATCATCTTGACATGGCACGTTATCTTGATCATCTAAATCCTATAGTATTTGATAATACTTATTGTTCTAAATTCATTGAATAATATATAATATTTTTTTAAATTCATTGTGTAACTTACAATATTATTTTAACATACAATATTATTTTGCATATGTAGGGTGATTATGTCCATGCTTCAATCAAAGGAAAATTTGTCGAATAATTTTGTTCAAAACTAATTGAAGGCAAAGTTTACACAATTCGATATTTTTCTCTTGTACCTAACAAGAATGAATATCGTGTTGTGAGCGATAACAAGATAATGATACAATTTTTTTCAAAATACAACTGTCAAGGGCGTTGCATTTTTGGAGAGCATTCGGAGCGCCACGTAAGAAATATACTTATTTCGACCAATAAGAAGAAATATTTGTATTTTAGATTTGATATATCTAAAATTTTAATGTCACGTAAATTATAATCCACGAATTAAATTATTTTAATGAAAAAAATAAAGTAAAAATATAGAAAAGAAAAATTTATAAATTCAATACTATGAGTATAAAAAATCCAAAAAAAAAAAAAGAAATATTTAAATGATAAACGCTTATAATAGTTTGATACCTATCATTATAAGATAAATTTTGATAGTATTTATGATAAGAAATACAAGTTGTTCGTTAATTATAATTAAATTAAAATTAGTGATATATACCATTATAAATTGACACATCATACGACACAAACAAAATTTCGTATCAATAAAAAACCCTATCAAGCGAATTTTGTGTTAGTAATTTTGTGTTAATTTTTGGTTATCAATGACTGGGTAATTTTTAGCTTAATTTTTAAAATCCTATGTTTAAATTAGTATTTTTACTTATTACTTACATTGTATTAATTTAGGATACTCAACGATTTTATGTTTATGTTTTATTTACATGCAGATCTAACACATCATACAACACAAATAAAATTTCGTATCAATACAAAACCCCATCAAGCGAATTTCGTATTAGTAATTTTGTGTTAGTTTTAAGTCATCAATGTCCGGGTAATTTTTAAAATCTTATGTTTAAATTTATAATTATTAGTTACATTGTATTTATTTAGGATACTTAACGATTATTTGTTTATGTAATGACATACGATTAGATGTTGTATACTTATGGATGACTTTGGTTATTTTTGGTGATGATGAAAAAAATTCCAATGCATAGATTTGATTTTATATCGCAACAAATTTTCATTTATTGGTAAATATATTGATTTATTTTATATAGATGTAAAGATTTAATTTATATCTATTTCAGTTTGGCTAACATTTCACGGTTCAATTTATCCATTGGTGATTCTGTCGAAATAAAAGATATGGCAAAACAATGAATAATGATTTAGGATTTAAATTATTAAAAATTTATTATTTCACATTAAAGATTTTATATAACGGAAAAAATATCATATTTACATTTTATTTATATTTAATAAATTCATTATAAATTATAGTAAAAAAAATAATTAAACTTTTATAATTTTGTCTGAAATTATTAAATACAATAAATTAAATAATTAAAAATCTTAGATAAAAAACCAGTGCATCGCACGGGCTTCGTTTTTTTTAAGCGGGAAAATGTTTATATATATGTAGTGTTTTCAATATTTTCCCCTTTCGCGCTTTTCACTTTACGTTGCACGTCTCTCTCCTCCATTGAAGCGTGTTCTGAGTTCTCTCCATTGAAGCAGCTTCTGAGCTTTCTCTATTCCATTGAAGCGTACTCCGAGCTCTCCATTGAACTAGCTTCTGAGCTTTCACTCCTCCATTGAAGCACTTTTGAGGTAAGATGTTTTTTTTTCCCCATTTTAATCATCGAATATCAATTTCACAATCTAGGGTTTAGTTTCAAACTATCGTTGCTTTAATTGTCAGTATAGTCAAATTAGGGTTCTTCTAAGCTTGATTATTGAACTAATTGGTTATAATTGCTGAAATTATGAAAAATTTTAGCGAGCAATTTTGTTGCTAGGATTTTAATTTCTTCAATTTACGTTGATGATCATAAGAGAGTAGAAATTATGTGAATTTTCGAGCCTAATTTGATGAGAGTCAAATTTGGTTGCTAATGTGTTAGTAATTTGCAAACCTAATTGAGTCCATGAGCAGAGCTTTCTTGAGATTATAGAAGCCCGAGCTGAGCTTGGGTTTTGAGGCTCGTTGAGCTTCGAGCTCAAGCCTGGGCGCTACCATTTTGATCTGAACCGAGTTGCAAAATCTTTCCTTCAAATTTTGTAAGAATTGAGTTGGAATGAACTGTACTACTTTTGGATTATAGATTTCTTCAATTGTTGATCAAGTAGTTCCTGTTTCCGCTGTTGATGAAGTTATAAAAGTAGTTTAGGTTCTTATTCTGTTGTTCGGCCTTGTTCCATATTGTTTGTGCCTTATTCCTAGCACTATAGCAGTCACACCGATTAATTAGTCTGTATGTTTCAAGCCTTTGTTTTGAGTATATTGTGTGTTATAAACATGCATGACCGTACAGTAAATTTCTGTATATAGTGTAAGTAATTCTACTTTGGAAGTTGCTAAAAGTGATAGATCAAAAGTGTGATGAATTAGTGTTACATAATTCGCCATACAAGGTTGGGTATGCCGTATGGGCATACAATTCACTACCTAGTATGGTTAAATTAGGCTAAAATGTACCACATTTAAGTATTAATTCAACTATTTTTTAAAATTTTTGGTTCATGAGGGGTATTAAGAAACTAAGTACAGTTACATGTGCTCATTGTCTCTACTGCAAACCATTATTGATTCTGGCATGTGTACTGTCCATCTGTGTAGTCCACATTAGAGGTGATTGGAAAAAAAAGATAAAAATTCAGAAGTTTGCCAAGAATTTTCGGAGTTGTGTAATATAGGGCCAGGTCACAATCAGCCTTGGTGAAAAACAAGAGTTTCATTACTTTGTCCCTATAGCTCTTAAATCAACCACCTATCCTTTTCCCTTCTACTGACCCTAGGCTGCAGTAGATTAGACACTTGTTCATGTCTGCCTGCAGGCTGTGCTACATAGTCCGTTTCAGTATTAACTTTGTATGCAATATATGTCAATTCTTAGTAGAGCATCTTTCATGCTGCTGCGTTGCTGAAAACTTTTGTAAAAATTGTACCGAGTGCATTTTGGAATCTTATGATAAAGTGTCATGTTTTTTGTTTTTTGTTTTTTTGTATATTTTTAACAGGATATCAGAATCTTAATAATGCCATCAAATGAATTACTCACCTAAAGGTTAAAATGAGATGCAATGCGTGCTGGAGAGAGTTGGAAGGTCAAGCTGTATCGACCACTTGTGGCCACCTTTTTTGTATCCTGATGATTGTTTCTGTTTAAATAGTGTCTCTAAAAATCTTTAGGTTTTTTTGTTTAATATTTGGAAATAACCTCTCTACTTGATATGGATGAACGAATGCATATGTTGATCTTTCCATACTATTGTTAACAGGACAATGGTTGGTGATTAATTTGTTCCTCTATATACTCATTTTGAAATTCATAAGATGTCACAAGTTTCACTTAACATGTCATAAGGCACATCAGATGCAGGCAAGATACTTAACAGTGATGGAGCGTGTCCCATCTGTGATCAGGTGTTATCTAAGAGGTGAGGTCTTTTGGTGAATTCCGTGAATTTGCTGGATCTTAACTAGATGTTGTATTGTTATATTATTTGAATTTTTAATTTTTTTTATGAAGAAGAGAATTATTATTGCTGGTTCGTGTAGTAGATATCATGTAACAATTTTGGAATGATTTGCTCACTTGAACTGTTTTGACAACTTGATTTGCTTGAGTTTTCTCTGGAAATTTCAGAGCACTGCTGCAATGAACTCTTGCTGCCCTTATCTATAAGTGATACTATCTGTAACATCTGACTAATATGTTTAAATGATTTATCGTTTCTCCATCCTTGCAGTCATATGAAACCTGTGGATATCAATCCAAATGATGAATGGGTTAATGTAAGTTAGGCGCTTTCCTAACTTTCTTTGTTTAGCAACCTGTTTGTTTGACATTTATCTATGTCATGTTTTTTTTTATTTATTTTTTTTACATTGTTTTGGGGATTGTTTCTGTTCAATTTTTAACATATCTGTTTTGTTGTATTGTTCCTTGTAATTGCAGATGGCAATGGCAGGAGTCTCGCCTCAGATATGTATCCTTAAACTCCCTGATAAGTCTTAATTGCAGTCTTTTTCATGAGGTACCAAAATTCTGTTAGGAATAAAATATGAGCTCAGTAACTGACATGCTCTATGTTAATGAGCTGTTATCAGAAACAATCTTGTCATTGGATGAATTTTATCTATACTTTGTCTTGGCAATGTGTGCTGTCTTTCCTTAAACAAGCCCAGTGATGAAAAGTGCATACAGAAGTGTGATGTTCTATATTGGGCAAAAGGAACTAGAAATGCAATGCAAGATGAACAGGCTAATGACGCAATGCCGACAAAAATGTGAGGCATTGCAAGAAAAGTTCAGTGAGAAACTGGAGCAGATGCATACTGCATACCAGAAAATGGGCAAGAGGTGTCAAATGATGGAACAAGAGATTGAGAACTTGTCCAAATATAAGCAAGAACTGCAAGAAAAGTTTGCTGAGAAATCGAGGTGAATATTGTCTGGTAGCCTATTGCTGTCGGGCCAATTTGTATTATAATGGCTGACTATTTTATATATTTGAAATCCTTTTTTTTCTTCTAATGCTTCATTTCAATTGTTTGCTGATGCCAGACAGAAGAGAAAACTTGATGAAATGTATGATCAGTTGAGGAGCGAGTTTGATTCAGTCAAACGTTCAGCCATACAACCTGCAAACAACTTCTATTCCAGACCTGAGCCTGATCTATTTTCTAACCCATCCAACTTGATGGATAACCAAGATACATTAAGAAAAGGTTATATCATCTCCTTGTATGCAATTACGCATTCTGATTTTAGCTGCCTAATCTTGCTGCTTTTGTTAAATTCTTCCATATTTAATGCCACTTTCAAATGAAATTCCTTAAGAAGCTTTTGTGTTGGGTGTCGTGGGAGAGCAGAGTAATTTTTCTAAATGATACACCAATCACTATCACTGTGCACAATGCCAAATAACCAACCAAAGTCAAAATTCAACAATACATTGGTCTTCATAGTGTACAGATTTTCAGTTACGATGACCTAATTTTTTCAATCTTTAAAGAGTTATATCTTGTTATTTGAGGGTTTTTGATAAAATGTGTACTATCTCATAAACTTTTACAGTATATTGTAAAAAGTGTAATCACTTTTGTTAGTATGCTGGTTAAATAAGCTTTTTTGCATTTCTTTGTTAAGTCACCCAAGAAAAATCAGTTGACTTATATGTTGCAGATCGATTGGTTTTTACTCCTGATACTCCAGGACCAAGGGAGGATATCTGGCCAGCAAGGCAAAATAGTTCCAACTCTGGAGGAGCCTTTGATGTCTCAGCTTGCTCACCCTCAAGGCGAGCACCAGTCCCAACTGATGCAGGAAACAGAAGGCCCAGTGGCCATCCTCCCTTTGGAACGGGAAATTCAAACCCCTCCATGACTCTCAGGAATCTGGTTCTTTCTCCTATAAAGCGGCCTCAGTTATCACGTAACCGCCCTCAGCTTTTCACGTAAGTAATATCTGTATCTTCTAGATACAAGTAGATTCTGTCTTATCTGTTGTCTAATCACATCAAGATTTGCTTTTTTCAGGATGTGATCAGAAGTAAGCTCATTATCTTGCTGTTGCTGAACATGCCCGCAGAAGTCGTGAGCTACATTTTGGAGTATTTTCTGTTTAAGTTTAGCCTCTTCTGGCTGTTTAACACAATGATCAATTCTTTTGAAGAAGTTTGCAAACACGGCTGATGTTACAGAAGCAGCAGCTGGTTCAAGCTCTCCCACTTGCCTTGCGATATATCGAAATACATCTTAATGCAACAGAACTACAGAATTTATTAGTATTGACATTTTATACTTCAAATTGTACAAAGAAACACACGAAATAGCAGTAATACCAAACTTTCATCTGTAGCTGCATAGTCAAAGGCTACGTTGACCTTTCCCTCTTTCGGGTGTGAGTGAGGAGACGTGTTTTATATTTGTTGATTGTTCACTCATTTGCAAGGTCCATGAGTAATTTTTTGTTGTTGGCAAGCGATGGACAAACTTTATTGAAAATATATTCATCTGATTAGGGAAATATGCCGAAGATTTGTAGGTTGTGAATAGATCTGTGACTAAGTTTCATAATTTTCTAATGTTGCCTTACTAGTGCCTGATATCATTTTGTGAAGGTCATTCGGCTCATGATGATTGATTAAATGTATATTTTGAAACATGGCTTCAGGAGGAATTTGTTGGAACAGATGGATATCTTTATTTACCGAAGTAATTTGAATGTATAAAAGCTTGCAAGACTCCTATTCTAACAAGAAGCTAAGAGTCTAAGACACAGCAATTGTTAACTGTATTTTTGTCACTTGTCAATCTCATTGTCCTGGATGCACTTCAATCATATGCCCGTGCAACCGTGCGCCATGCAAATGAAAAAAAGAAGGAAACAATTCAACAAATGTACAGTTTAGAAAATGACAAAAAGTCATCCTTGATTGTGTGATGACTCAAATAAACGAATCTCTAGCATAACAATGCTAGAGTAGTATGGCGATTCCATTCACAGCATTTCAGCAACCATAATTATGGGCAAGGCCAGCTAAAGATCTAGTTATCATGAATTCCTTTGCCAAGCTTCTCAAGCTAAATTCTGACAGGCAGAATCAATTTGAGCATGCTCTTCTGCTTTTGCCATTTGCCATTGTGAAAGCTCCGATCCTTAGAAGAATTAGAAGTATGCTTGCTCTGGAGGTATTTTGCTTGATAAGACTCATTTCAGGATTACAAGGATCTTTGAAGTTGAACTGAACTACGAAGTATTATTTATACATCTTATCATTAACCTCCCTAAATACTCTTCAAACGTTTAAATCAGTTTTGTTTCTGAACGCGAAAGATTTATGAAACTGATGCTTGCTAGTTCAGTTGCTCCTTATTTTGTCATGAGGAGCCAGCTCATCCATCTCTATCAACCAACTACTCGGCGTACTCGCTGTTCTGACACCAGTACATGTACACTCAAATGTCTGAATAGTGTTCTTCTAATAACATTGGATTGTCTACAATAGCTCATTTTATGTATATATATACTTGTATAATTTTTTGTTTGATTAAGTAGATTGCTCTGTTGATTGTGTAATTTGAACCAGTAATGGGATAACTTTATCTGTTCGAAAAAAAAAAGGAAAAAAAAATAAATAAATAAAAAAAAAAAAAAAAAAACTCTTTATCTGGTAGTAGATATCATTTGTCTATTCTTCAAAGCTCATTCTTTACATAATTTTGTAATTAAATGGTGCTTCATCGACTAGCATAATCTTTAATTAGATTTGGACTGTTTTGTGAAGAGAAATATATTCAACCAATATGTTCCCTGTAATCTTCATGTACAACTCCTGAAGTAAAGAGAACCAACAGATGATTTACACCAGCAGAGTCAGAATTGCCGTATTTAGACCAGGGGCAGAAATCATAATGAACACGTTTAGGTTACACGATCTCACCCTAATTTATCGAAAGACATTAACTGTTAGTCTATTACCCCAAAAACGAGCAAGTCCGCAAAAAATTTATTTTTTGATATATGATGTAACCCTTTCTTAATCTGATACAGGATTATCTAAAGTGCTTCAAAAATTCATCCTGACAACAAAAATGTGGATCAAACCCGAGTCAGTGGAATTTCCTGCTATGAAAACAGAACTATTTGTTATGTACAGACTTTTAAAACCACTCCCTCCAAAACCAACTACAATGAAATAAGAAAAAAAGGAATTCAAAAAATTTATCCTTCTGTTCCATTAATCTCCAAACATGAAAAAAGGCAAATAATTTTCACAATTTTGCAACCTGCTCGTGTGAAGAGGATAGCAAGTGAGGTGGCAGGAAAATCTTCAGAACAGGGGCCTTTGTTGATAATTCAATGACATCCCCTTTCTTGATAGGGTGAGCAATATGACTACCATCAATGTATGCATAACCTTCTTCCGTGGACCAAGCAATTTCCATAGTCTGATCGGACTTTACCAAACCATGCATCACGCTAGAGTTTGAACCCCTTGCCAGTATGGGTTCTCTCACCATGTACTGGAGGTCCTTAGACAAAATGGGCATCACAAATCCACCAGCAGAGAGCATAGCAGCAGTTGATCCCGCTGCTGTTGAAACCCTTAAACCACTCGACCGGCAATTTACTAACGGGCCACATGACTCCCCATTTCTTTTGAGCCTGCCAACAATAAGAAGATTGTATTACTTAAATAGTTGTATATGCCGCGAAACAACATAGAGGTATCGAAAAACAAGATATACTCCCTTACCTGAATGAAAACCGAGACAATGTTGCAGGGCAAGGATGTGCAATCAGAAGATCATTTAGAGCGTGTGTCTTCAATGAGTGTGAGTTCACACGTATGGATATTCTAGATAATTCAGAAGGCCTAGCACGTTTATTGAGAATTTCATCCAACACCTGCCAATTGGAAATTCAATTGCAAGGTTCATATCCTATTAGCAAAGACAACAACCAAAGAAAGACCAAAGAGAACAAAATCACCAAAACTGTATGACGATTATCCGCGTGCCAACAGACTATATTACAAAGTCACTCAACAATGATATAAAACTTCATGTTTATTGCATTAAGAATTATTAACCAACTAATAAAAGTCATATATTATACATAATATCCATATTGCACGCAAGCTTATCTTCCCTATTTAACATTTGAAGCTCAGTATATAAACATGATGCTAAACTGAGACATGAAGCCTTGCCACAAATCCATGATAGTCCTCAGTACCACTTCGTATTCAAATTCAAAAAACTATCTACATAGAAAGCATCTGATCATTCAACTTTGCGTAAGGCAACCAGACCTTCCATGATACGACAAACAAGTGTGGAAAGCATGAAATAATCTATAAAATTGCTTTTGCAATGATAAGTAGTCAATTAAGATCTTCCAAGAATTACAGTATATCAGTAAGAGGCATGCTCGAAAATTTCTTTCTCTAGATTTCCCGTTTTAGTAGCAATGCCTCTTCATTTACCAAACTGCCATTCTGTCATAAAGTTGCAATTTGCTCCAATTCTAATTTCTACACAATAATAGGTGATACATGAGTTAATAATTTAATTGGAAATCATAGTACAATTTTCCCCAACTAATGGATAGTATGAGCCATTGGGAACAATATTAATTGTACACTACATTGTCTAGATAGACTAAAACATCCGAAATTCATCCAGCTTTTATATTTTTGTTCAGCGGTATAGTGAAAAATGAAGAGGGTAATGTGAAATTCTAGCACACCTAAGTTGCCATCTTCCCATAACAGCAAAATGTTAGACACTGACCCGTATGCATCTATTCAGTCAAAGCTCTGTAGTCTTATAAAATAATGGTCCCAATCAATTTATATTCATTACAAATTCAAGGTGGCACTAGCTGAACTGTTATATCACTCTAATGACAATGTAAGTGACATCTCAATTAAGGATTTTCTTGGTAATAAGATATGGTTTGAGCACCAAACTCAAAAATGAAACAAATAACATCAAAAACAAATTGTTAATTTAAATTATGCTTTGCTTATTGATAAATCAAATGGACTGGAGCTAATGAAAGAATAATTCTCAGCATTTACCTAGGCATGGAGAATTGTGTACAAAAGCTTATTTGATAAATCAAATGGACTGGAGCTAATGAAAGAATAATTCTCAGAAAAGCTTATTTGATAAATCAAATGGACTGGAGCTAATGAAAGAATAATTCTCAGCATTTACCTAAGCATGGAGAATTGTGTGCAAAAAAAAAAAAAAAAAAAAAAAAGTTGACTTATTATCAAGAAAACAGAAAGATGAAAAATAAAGGAAACTCTATGAGCTTCATCACTCATCAGATGGTTCAGACCCAATTTGCCTCATTTAGTTCAACAAAATATACTGCAATTTCTTTCAATTCCCTACATTATAGTTATGAATGGAAAAAGTACTCCTCCCTCTACTTGGAACCAAATATCATCGTGTCCTATGATTTTACCAGTATGGGGCATTTGAACATGGGAATGGTAGTTCATGAGTTAGAAAGTGGGATGGGAATTGAAGATTCATAAAAATAAATTAAATTCCTTGTTTGGTAGTTGATAGGAATATATTGAGGATTATAAAAATATTGTTGCTTCCTTAAGGATATGACATGATATTACAAAAATACCTTCTATGATGGTTGGGCCATTCTCTTCCATCCCCTACTACGTATTAAATTCAAGCAAGTCATCATACATCAAGGAAAGGAAACAACTTTTCTCATGTTTCCCAAAACATAGCAAAACACAGGAAAAGTATTAAAAAAAACATAACTGTGCCATATAGTAACCAATACCACACAAGGCTTGGTAAATAAAAACGGAAAAGGAAGCCAATGCACACAAGATAAAATTTTGCTATATTTTTCTCTCCTATTCTATTTTGTTTCTAATTATATATGCACATGTTTTAGATATTTATACTTCTAAAAAGAGTATAGCCGGCATACAGTCTTGCTGAACTATTTATAATCCTTTCCTTTCTCTCTTGCTGCAAATTACAACTGCACATCTTCCTAATAGAAATTCTCTTGTGATGAAATCCCAAGACAGCCCATTAGAGGCCCTTCGTTCCCGGCAAAAAAGTTTAAAATCCTTTTCACTTTAAAATATTACAAAACCACCAGGGTTCATCTGTACTCCTCACAACAGGCCTCTGCCTTCCTCAAATATGATTCGGTAATCCGAAGCTTCCACTGACCCTTAATGTAAAAGCGTACTTACCCCCATTCAACAACAACAACAAAGCTTTATAGTGGTTCCAAATAATATTAATTCAATGAGCAGCATAAGGTAAGGAGCCCCCACATACTCTCAATATACTTTACAAATCTTTGTGCATCATGTCTGAGGCCTGACCACATTTGTTGCTCACAGCAACTCAGGCAGAGGTTATTATAAGGAAAATTATACTGCCTTAGGCCTTGATAAGCAGAAGAACGTGACAGCTTGCATATTCAGCTCCTATTTTTCCTTGCACCAAGCATAATGTTTGAAATTTCTCATACAGATTCCAGTCAAAGTGCCATATCTAGGATCAAAATTTACCAAACATTTTCTTCAAGAACATGAAGAAGTGTTTTAAGAGGCTATCACCCTCTGAAATACAACAAAAAGGAGAAAACTGTTGCTTTGAAGAATACTATGTCCTATAGTTAAAAAAGAATTTACAATCATTTTCACTAATTGAAAAGGATATCAGATCAACTTATTTTCCTATTACAATTGGATTGCATCAAGGGTCTGCGTTAAGCCCTTATCTTTTTGCAACGATTCTAGATGAAGTAACTAGGCCAATTCAAGATGAGGTCCCATGGTGTATGTTTGCGGAAGATATCATTTTGGTGGATGAAACTAAAGATGGGGTTAATGCCAAATTGGAGCAATGGAGGCAAAGTTTGGAATCTAAAGGGTTTAAGCTAAGTCGGAGTAAGACTAGTTGGTATGCCACTTTGGTACACAGAGGGGGACAAGCGATGTTGTAGTGAGTTTGGACGGAAAGGATTTGACCATAAGTGAGTGTTTTATATATCTTGGTCGATCATCCAGAAGAATGGTGACATTGCCAAGACGTGGCCCACAGGATTAAGTCGGGGTGACCTAAATGGAGAGCGGCCACAAGAGTGTTATATGACCGAAGCATTCCTTTACAGTTGAAGGGGAAATTCTATAGGATTGCCATAAGACCAGTGTTGCTTTATGGTAAAAAATGTTGGGCTTCTAAGAAGGAGCACAATAAAAAGATGGAGGTTACAGAAATGCGCACGATAAGATGAATGTGCGGGAACACTCTAAGAGACAGAATCATAAATGAAGTTATTCGCAAGAAAGTGGGTGTTGCAGGCATTCCACACAAAATAAGGGAAAATCATCTGCTATGATTCAAGCATGTAAGGCAGAGACCCCAAGGTGCACCGGCACGGAGAGTGGAAGAATGGGATCATGGAGAGGTTAAACGAGGTAGAGGGAGACTGAAAATGACGTGGTTGGAAGGAGTTAGGAAGAATATGAAGCTTATGGACTTGCATGAGAATGAGATTTTTGATCGTAAGGGATGGAGGAGGAAGATTTGTGCGGATGAATATACGGAGTAATCACTTTTTGTTCATGTAGCCTACCCCACTTATGGGATTAAGACTTTGATTGATTGATTGATTGCAATTCAAATTACATGTCAAGCTTTCTATTTAACATAATTTTTATTTGATTTTCAGCTTTTTGTATTTTTTTTTATTTTTATATATGATCTTAGCGATGATAAATATTAATGCCTCTAGTAAGTTAGAGTCTTAACAGACATGACATATATCGTCTGAGCTAAATAGACATTACATCTGGGCTTCTAGCCTCAATTTTGACAAATGTTATAAACTTCAGTAAGTTCAAATTTGAAAATAATCATTCTGGATCGATTGCAACATATGAAGTGCAGCAAAGTGACAATGATTGTGCTGAGAAGCAAGTTAATTATGAGTTAAGTTCACACTCACTGAATGTAGAAAACTTACACTCACTGAATGTAAAAAAATGATCAAAAAGAAATTTTAGCATAGATGAAAGTACAAATAAGATATTACTGAATTGATGAAATCAAGGCATATTATCACCAATTACAACCTAACCAACTTTCCAGAGGTCGGCATTCACTTAGAAGTGATTTCTGATCAACTCCCTGCTGATGTTTTCTAGCACTAGATAATCTCTAAATGGATCTGCATAATTTCCCTCATCTTTTTTTTTTTATTTAAAATAAAAAAAATAAAAATTATCACCTCACTGCCCTGCACGATACTCAAGGCTCTAACAAACCTACTGCAGAATAGTGGTATCCTTCCCTCCCCAATTTCATAACAAACTCTGCTGTACTACATCTTTGTCCTAGTCTTCCTTATAAAATAAGTAAGCATTGTTCACTGCAGATGTGATTAATTTTCTAACACTTTAGTAGCTTATCCTACCACAATTTATCGATTTTTATTAGTTTTTACTACTTGGTTCTCAAGATACAAGAACTCTAACATCTCAAATCATCCTCCAATTGCTATTCCATTAAATTTCTTCCTGGATTGTAAACATAATAAAATCAACGAAGTCTCTAATGGCCAGGAATCAGGATACAACCCAGTAGAGGGATATAATCCTGCACAAGAGGCAGTCTTATTCCAAAATCCATAAAGTCCTGGCTTCCAACAAATATTTTCCAAGGTAGAACCTCAAGAGCAGTCCCCAAGAAAAACCGCAGTCCTCAAAGGCCAAGAATGTGGCTCATCACACATTCTTAACAAACAAGTACAATAGTTAACTGCACTTGACTCTAGAATAAAGATGATGACCAATAGCAAACTCAGTTTCACTGATTCTGTTTTCCTTGATTTTTTGCAACATGATAAAAGGCAATACTTGCAATCTCACCTGTTCGAAGTTGTTGACAGTAGCTGCACAAAGGTAGCCAGCACTTCTAGTGGCATCAAACTCATCTTTGAATTGTTCTACCTGTACCAGAGAAAGCAAGTTAGCTAAAGCAACAAGGTTTAGCGAGAGGGGGAGGGGTCAGTTGTTGTGGAGAGAATAGCCAAAACCCAAATCTTAGAAAAAGAGAAAAATCAGCAACTATGCAAGTTTGAAATACTTGTACCTCTTCAATCTGAGTGGGATCCGAATTTACTCCTAAAACTGGAATGCTGTCATCCATAAAGTGACTAGCTTGCAAAAGAGTGCCATCACCTCCAATAGTTAGAACCAAATCCACATCTCGGATTGGGCGAGTTACATCATTGTGAAATAGAGTTTCCCAATCAATTGACTTTCGCTGCAGAATTTCCTGACATAAGCTTATGGCATCCTTGTGAACCTGAATTCTATTGTTTAAATGTTGAAGTATCTGCAGTTTTGTACAGAATATAGTAGGACTCAGGTGACTAATACAACAGCACTTGCAGGAAACTGTAGCAAACAAAAGGTCATATTACTGCATCTGCTACAACCTTTACGGATTCAGACAGCAGATCAGTCTAATGCAAAAGATTCGCATACAAGGCAGAAAATTCACAAGCGCATATCCTCAACCTTGCAATGGCAAATAACAATTAAACAAAACTCTCGATTGAACTATTTGAAGATTTTGAGCTCACATCTACTACAAACAAAAGTAAAGGTAGTCTAAATAAACAATTGATTAGTCCATTACTACCCAAAATTATATTACAAAATTCCTTGCTATCTTAATAAGCTTACTTGAAGTAGGACAATTGTGCCCCAAATGGGTGATGTGGCACCAACAACATTTTGAAAATTGGAGTTCACACTCTATCTTCATAGCTTATCAAGTGTCCTCAACTCTAACTGTTAAACTCCCGAATGGAAAGTTTCTTTTGCATTGACAAGATTAGATGGCCTAGCACGCTACATTACCAATGGATTTTTACAAGAGTTCCCCTTTTGCCTAATACTTGTTCAATTAAATCCTGACAATCATAGGGGTGATTAAGTGTCTCTGGAATTCATAACCCGCGTACAAACATTAACGCCTATGTTATCAATTAGAGAAATCAATCCCATACCAATAAGCCAAAAGGAAATCCACAATACCCAAATTCAACACCGGAAACCTTTGAAAATCACACACTTACACACTTTTCCTAATATAACAATTTAGACATCTACACAGGACATACTGAATAAGTCAATAACCCTCAACGTTATATATGTAAATGAACAAACAAAAGCCATAAGTTTTAGACAAATATACCATAACCGCATAAATTCATCATGTTTCAATTGATGGGCATATGTAATAAAATTTAATAACTTCATGGAAATACAAGAAAAGATGTGGGTGTCAAATATTTACATTGAAAAATGCATGAAATTATGATATATAAGTAAACTACCAAAAAAATTCAGCTGAAAAAAAATAAGAATGAAAGAAAAACAAACCTTAGAATTGGAAGTTCCAGAAAGAGAATCAGAATGGCGAAGTGGGTGAACATCGAAGGGTTTCAAGAGCAACAAGAGCTTTCTCCTGGCCATAGTTGTTTCTCCATGTAAAAGCATTCGAGTGACGAGGTTACGGGGTTGATATGATCTTGCCCAACTCAATGCTGAGGCTGTTAATGCGACACGCATCACACTGCCGCATCACTGGCCGCTACTTCTCTCCCTAAACTCACCGCCGGTGCTTCAACAAGGTGATGGTTATATATGTTTTTTGAGCAAAGGTGATGGTTATATTAGATTTATTTTTTTTGAAGCAATTAATTTAGGATTTGATTTCATTTACTATTTTTGAATAATTTTTTTTGTACTAGCTCCAAATTTTTTTTATTTTTTAAAACATTTGTTGCAAATAATACTACTTATAAAATATTTCGTTTTGATGTTATTTTTGAATGTATTACTTTTTTTTTTTTTGCCCCATTTCAAATAATTGAGTCAAACTTTAGAATATTTGATGATAAATTCTCATTAATTTATAAGAGATAATATAGTTAAGTAGGGTCTTATTGGATTCATTCATTGTATATTTTATTAATATCACGTTTTTATAATTTTAAGACATATGAATGAAGATAAATGCTTTTTAAGACGAGTCTTGGAGACCGTGGAAAGTCAAATGGGCTAAAAAATAAGGACAGAGGGAGTATATGTTAAATGACGTCCGTGTATTACATGTTGATGCCTATTATAAAAGAAAAGACCTTTATACCCTTACTTCTAACCAAATTCCTTCCCACACTCTCTCACTAGTCACTATCTGTCACCATATCTACCACCATCTATCACTTGACCAACTCCACGTCAGCAGGTGAAACCGAGTGAATTAGTAGATTTTGCTTGGCAGGAGGAATGTCATGGTGGTGGAAGAGAGAAAAAGTAAGAGGGAATGAGTGATGGAGAAAGTGTGGGTTGGGCATATGTAGTATAATACCGTGCTTTTACTTATTAATGTGAAGTGTTGGTAAATAAAATTCATGTGTCGTTTAGTGATTCAATTAAGGATATTATTGGTCAAAGTTTTAGTGACAAATATGCCGAAAACATAATTGGTGTTATGGGTTCATCCCACTTGTAACATAAGCAACTTTATTAATATAATCTTGTTTTTGTGAGCCAAAATTATGGCCTCGTTTTTATGTAAAACTTAGACTTTAGGAGGCGACTTTGAAGTGGTGTGTTTATTTATTGTATCTAAGAGTCAACCTAAGGAAGTGGCGGGTACAACAAGTTACACATACACGAAATAGAAAAAGGAGAGGTAGAGAGTTTGAGAGACGCTAAGCTTCTTTAGTTTGGCTTTTTAGAATGTTAGATATAAAATTGTCCATTGCTGACTTTTTTTACCATTAGATAGTGCTGAATTACTGTCAGTTTGTTGGAGACACATAAGACCTCTATTTGAACTTGAATAACGGTTGAAACTCTAGTTAATCTTTGTTGCTAGACAAAGACCCTAGCTACTGGTCAAAGAAAATGGTGGAGCACAATCTAACTACACTTAGATTTAACATGTTTGAATTGATTTAAAAAGTGATTTGGGTTCCAAAATGGTGAAAAAAAAAAAGTTTTTAATAGTGAAAAATGTGAAATGTTATTCCTTTATTTTATGCTTAACTCCTATTATTGGGTCTAGCAATATTCAAGTTTTATGTAATATGAAACTAAGGTATTTTCAATTATTGCATATTTAACAATCACATCAAATTAAGATGGATGGTTTTATTTGTTATGAAATTGTAACGAGTTGTTGGTTGTCAAACTGTCAAAGTACTCGAAAATAAGAATTAGCGTGTAGATACATGACTCATCATCTATATTCATTTATATCTTTTTTAAATACTTTGTATACAACTAGTGTGCCGGGTGATGCTCTAGGTTGCTAGTTTATCCTTCTTCAATTTGATAATTATGTTCGAATGTTTGTATAGCTACTGTGTGGTCTGGGCATTCCTCGGCGGTTACTTTTTTTTTTTTTTTTTTAAAAAAAAAAAAAACCTTATATGAATTTATTTTCTAAGTGAAAAATAAATAAAATATATAACCTCTAATTTTCTTAATAAATAAAAGGAATATATAATGTTATGTGAAATTTAAAACATTAATGAAGTTGAGATGGTAGATGTATGACCTTTATGTGTGGGAGGATATGGCTGAATCTAGCTCAAAGCATAATTTATTTTGTGAAATGAAGTGACAAACTTATATGGCGCATTTACTTTGGATAGTGACGTGCCATTGTGACATGCACATATACTTTGAAAAGTGCTACGTGGCACCTTTCCTTTAAAAGGAACACCTTTTAATAGATAGTATAGATATACGAAATACAAAGTATATAAATTACAGTGTACAAAATATGCTAACGACTCACTAGAATGGTTGTCAAGTCCATTACATTAAAAAGGTTGTGGTTCAAGTCTTCATAAGCATATCGACACTTTGGATTTTAATTTAGACCCTCCCGAGTAATAATGGCTACCCCAACAATTAACAGGACACCCTAATTTCCAAATGACTAACCTAGTATTGACAGTTTCCCCACAAATTTTACTTAATTTTACATGTCAAAATCAAGAAATGTACCATAAAAGAGATAATGAACATTCAACTAATGTTCACTAATATTATTATTATTATAATTATGTTAATGTACAAAATTTGGAAAATTCTTTACATGTATGTTCTTATAACTACAAATCTCTACTCAGCTTAATGATGGACAAAACAAAATTGCTGCTGAAGATTTTATCACATCATGAAGATTTCCTTGACCTGTAAATCATTTCTCTAGTGTTAGTATGCATAAGAAACCTCATCTTAGTACATATAAATTGCATAAAAAAGTCTCCTATTGGAGAATTCCTATAAGACAATCACCTTAGATTGTTCACTGACTGCCATATTCTCCATAGTGTGCCGACTTCTTGAGAGGGAAGTTCTAAAGCTCGGCCAACTATCTTGTTAGCAGAAGGTGCCATTTCATGCACCAGTTTGACTGATTCCGAAAGCCGGTTAAGCAGGTTTATCAGTGCAATCACTTCATTCCTTTGCAATTGCAGCTGCACAATAAAGAAGCACAAGTGTAAACAATTACCAATCAGTAATTTTCTGAAAGAATTCACAGTATGTTCAGACAGCAATGGAGGGAAACTCGGGGAAAGGGAAAAAAAAGAAAGAGAGGGGAGGGTCACGTGTCATCCCTCCAAATGTTTAAAAATGTTGGAAGTACTTTGGTTTATAAAAGAGAAAGGAAGTTGGGTCCTTATGATTACCTTCCCTTCCCATTCCAAATCAATGTCCAAATAAGGGGAAAGGAATCCATTTATGACCACTATCTCATTACATCCTCGTATCCAAATACATAGTCAACTTAAAAAAAAAAAAAACCACCCTATAATTTCACTCACAGATTGATTTAGATGGTTGTCACCCTCGACTGAAAGAAGGATCTTCAGTGCTGTGCCAAGACCAAGAACTTGTAGTTTACCCCATAATCTACACTTTTCACAGCCTACACAATCCATCAATGCACTGCAAAATGTTTGCGTCAGTCAAATTTCATCAACTAGCATAAAGAGACGGACATGAAAATGCTGAGACAGTACATAACTAAATACTCCCTCCAGACAATTTTTTAGTTAATGAGATAGTACATAACTACATACTCCCTTTCTAAATGTTTGTTTGTCAGTCGAATTTCATTAACAATCTCGAATCAGCTAATTTAAAGATGAATTGTTAAAACATGAATATGGTGGACCAAAAGACTCAGTCCCAAATATTATGGTCAAAATTGCGCATTGGTCAAACATAAAAGTCAAAGTAGAACAATTTAATAAGTCTCACATTATTAAGTCTTTTGGTCCACCATTTTCATGTTTTAACAATTCATATTTAAATTAGCTGATTCGAAATTGTTAATGAAATTCGACCGACACGCAAACATTTAGAAAGGGAGTATGTAGTGATGTACTATCTCATTAACTAAAAATTTATATTTCTTAATAAAGTGACATGCCTTATATTTCTAAACTGCATTTGAATCTGCTGCTTCAATTCAGGACCACTTTGCCCTTGCCACAGCTTAGCTTCGTCAAATGGAAGTGGACATGCAGCACGAAGCTTCTGATTATAAAGCAATTGTTTCAGTAAGGACTGAGTTTTTAAGTCATCTTCATGATTACCAGTGTCATACTCAGCTTGCTCCAAATAGTCTGATGCCTATACCATTCAGATAGGTGAAGCTTTAGAATGCTGATCTGCACTTCAATTATTCTCTACAAAACTAGGTTCTCTAATCAAACATACCTTTGTTACAGCTCTAAGCACAAAAAGGAAAGCAAAATATAAATTTCGAACACGTTCTGGATGTCTCAAAACTCGATCATGCATTATGTCAAAATTCTGTCCCCACTGAAAAAAATAAAACAAAAAACAAAAGATTTCAAGATAACAAATACTGCGATAGTCAGCCAATTTTAACTAAAGAAGAAATTCAACAGCTATATAGGCCCTTATGGCCATATTTGACATGTATTTTATGTAATACTCCTTCGATTCTTTAATACAGAGTAAATGTTTTCAGAGGTCAATGATTTGTTAGTTACTGTATTGACATTCAAAACTGACTAGAATTTCATCAGTACTTGGTAGTGACAAAAACTATCATCAAATTGGTAGTTTGTAGTGATTGAGAACAAGAGATGAGGAAATTTCACTGAGTGGACAGATCATATGGAAAGGAAGGAGCATGTATTAAAATCCAACTAGGTCAAGTGAAAATTCACTGTGGGTTCAATGAATTACAAAGGTTGGGGATGTTTAGATTGGCATATGATGTTTTTCTCCTCCTATAATATCATTTAATAGAACAAAATTAAATTTCAGGTTGGCAGAAAATATGATACCGTGTTGGTGGCTTCATCAAGGAGATAATCTGCAGCAATGTGAACTGAAATAGATGCATGCAGACCAGAAATCAATTTGTAAAGAACCTTTTTCTCTTGGCACATCTCTCCAGATGCATCTGCACACAAAAGGAATATGCTTATACATACACAGCACAGAAAAATACACATAGGAAAACTTAGAGTACATAAATTTCAGACACAATTGGCATGAATGAAGCATTAATCTAGAATGTATATTAATAATAACTGGCAAGTTGTGATTAAAGGCATTTTTCTGTTTCTGCAACATCAAATATTTACCCTCTTTCCTAATAACACAAAAAAGTTAAGGAATTTGCCCCCTCCCCCCACCCCACCCAAAAAGGGGGAAAAAAAAAAAAAAAAAAAAAAAAAAAACAATTTCCAGATAACT